AGATAATTATAATGAAAGTCATCTTTACGAAAGACAAAGATTATTGAGTGCTAGGTACATAGTTCATTACTGGGAATTAAACAGAAACCTATTCTCATACACACACTTGTTTTAATCTGGATTGCACAGAAATTAATAGCGTATTTGAAAAATACTGATGCTCATTTCGGTGTGTTGTTTCAAGTGCGTTTGGGTATATAAAGAGCCTTTACGTTCACTCCGTCCTAAGTAAATATCTAACTTGTATAAGCACTGCGTTTCAAATTTTACATTCTAATCTGCACGCCGTGCACAAACAAGAACATTTACATGTTCCATTTATCACACGGACTCTAATGGCTTCGAGAAATTAGTCCGGACAGAATGTTGTTCTATAGACGAGTTGGGAGCTTTTAAACAGAAGATGATTTGTTGATGGAAATGAACAAGAAACCCTATATTAGATGTCTGGATGATTTTCTGAAAGAAGAAAAGCGATTTGTTGTTATAAATGAACAAGGAACTGTCACCGAGCTACGACGGCACAAACCAATCTCATTATTAAAGGGGATAATAATTAAACGGAACGGAATGACTAGTCTGAGATTGAGGAGTCACTTCTGAGACTTGATTTGTATATTTAACCGTTGAAAGACTTTTCCCGCTTGTTATGTTTTTATGCCTGGATAATCCTTTGTATTATCAAGTTTTTAGGAAGCTACTGCAATGTAAATAAAACCCATAATTGAAGAAAGACGATTTGTGACAAGAAATTACCAATGAACTATCAAGACCACAGTAAAGTATTTAAAAAAAAAATAAAATAATTAAAAAAAGATTGTTAAATGAAACTGAAAAGAAAGAACGTAAAAAAATAACTTAGAAAAAAACACAACCTAAGAATATTACTAAAATTAATGAATTTTAGAACAAACAAAAGGTAAAGTAAAAATACAAGAACATTAAGAACTCTTTGAAAAGAGAACAACAAGACCTATAGATGTAAACGTAAGAATGTAATAAATAAGTCTTTGAACCCAATGTATTTACGGAAATGTAAGACGATAGCAATTTGAAAACTAGATTTGAGAAGTAAAAACATTAAAACTTCAGAGTGTGAATCTAAAAGAATGTAACAGGCGACATTAATCGTTTAAGAGTAAATTTTTTCTTTAGGCTTTAAAATAAGTAGTCATCTTATTATCAGTATCATAATTAAAACGCTCATTGAATTGAAAATTTAATTACAAAAGGAAGATAAACTGTGCTTTACGTTCTCTTGAGTGGTTTGATTATTGCGAGTAGAGGTAGTAGCTAAAGAACAATGATTTGTAACCGTTTATGAGCAAGGAACTGTCGCGTGATGAAATATGGCTGTGGCAACTAATCACATTATTATCAAGGATAATAACTAAACCGGGCAATGAACGAGAAAATAATTTGGTTGCGTGAAATTTGATTAAAGGGCAGATTTAAATTTTATTAAGAAGGGTGATAAAGTGATTCTCTTTTTCTGACTGCTTAAAGAATTTAAATATTTAGATGGCATAGCCGAAGGACAATAAATTGTAACCATATATGACCATGGGGGAAACTATTTATTTTATGTTGTTGTCAAGTGGGAATTCTCACAACATAATGAATGTGGTTTTGTGAATCATAAATTTGAATTTCAAGTTTTACATGGTATAGAAATAGTACTTTTGGGTCGTTTAATTGTTTTTAACAGAAGGCATAGTCGGAGACCTAAGATTTGTAATCGCAGATGAACAAGGAGCTGCCACGTGATGAAATATAGTGGCCAACCTAATCTTATTGTTACCGAAGATGATAATTAAAGGCGGCTGTAATTCCTGGCGCTAAACCTGTAGACAATCTAGCTTTGTGCGTGTTGATTGCGTGTCGCGTTTTTTTTTATTTAGCGGACTATATTTAAAAGAATTTAATCAAACAGAGAATGGGCGTGTACATGCCGGAGCTTTATCTCGTTTAATCCGATAACGTATATTTTCTAGTCGCAATCAGCATGTAATCCGCGCTCTCAACCGTCGTATTAATATGATTTAGAAGCGCAACTTTAATAACGTGTTTCGCAACGTAATTATGTAATTTGTTGTTGTTTGGTGTGTCGGTGTACATACAAAGAGGAGGATTGCGACATCGGGAGGTGGTAGAAGGACTCGGCAAATGATTGAATGCTTTAATGTGAACATACAATTTAACATTTGCAAATTGGAACAGCTCCGACTCCACTGATGATTATTGGAACATGTATAAGTTATGTGCTAATCAACACACACACACGAAATTTGCAACCCGGTCTCGGGTATTATTTTTCGGGTGGCGAGGGAAATGAATATTTACGTAGCGGAATGAAACAAACGGAGAAAGTTAATCCTTTATGTGTGAGGAATCGAGATAATAGTCGAAAGAGGGAAAGTATTTAAAGTTTAGTGCTAGATCAAAGAAAGAAACAGTGGGGAAGTTGTCGGAGTTGCTTCTTTCTCTGTTATTTAATCATGCAGGACAGGGCGATGTCTTCTTCGGCAATTTTACGGGGGATTCAATAGGAGAAAGGAAATGTTATAGCCGGTCCTCCATTAGTCAGTCTTATTGAGATTGATCAAGCTTTTTTTTTCGGTGGATTGAATGGAAGTAGAGCGGCGTCCACTTCCGATATAATCAATTTAAGGGACACGAAACGTGGAAATACTTTCAATTATTTGAGCGACTAATCTAAATTTCAGGATGTTTCCGTTCGGGCCGTAGATATAGAGTGTCCACTGAGAACTCTTATTTCTGGGATTTTTAACTTATTGCGTTTTGCTCGTTAATGAGCGAGATATTAGCCGCGAAAGTTTTGGTTGGGTATATTTGCTCGCTTTCGACCTCTTGGGAGCTTGTTTGGTGTTTTCGGGTTCTTGCTTCTTGCCACTTTAGAGACAGAGGGAGAGAAAAGTTTTAAGGAGAGTGGTTCGCGTTGACTTAATTTGTGACCGACGATAATATTTTCTCCGAAAAGAGCAGCACTGTTATTCTCCATTTAATTATATCTTGCTACTCATACTTTAATTACGCCATCAGGGCCAAATTTAATAAAGTCTCTGCTATGGTTTATTAAAGAAAGATAATGACTAGGTTTTTGAAAGTCTTCTTTTGTAAATTGACTCTAACATGATTTGGCTTGCATAGATAGAGTCTCTTGAAAGTTTGTTCTAAGCTTGGACAAACTTGCCGAGAAACTACTTGGAGTGAGTAATTAGTAGGCGGTAGTTTCGGATATGGCTCATCTGTCTGCAAATTCTCTTAATCCTAACGATTTTCTCGATGAATCTGAACATAATCGTGTCATAAATCGATCAGAGCGTGGCCACAAGTCAAGTTAGAAGCCATTTTGGAACTTAACTAATCTAAAATCTATTCGTGAAATAACACAGCGCGGAGTTAGTTTTAAGACAACGTTAGCATTAGTTTCAACCAAGTTCAATTTAAGTTTCCTACCAGTCACTTAGCATACTACTGTACAAGTAAATGTATCGAATTAGTGGAACCTTGAGCGAATACAATGCCAAGACGAAATCCACCGCTTTCTATGCTTTAATGGAATTAGTAAACATTTCACAAGGACCGAACTGGTTTTTAAACAGTTACTTCAACTTTCTTCATCAATCCACTTGAGGTGATGACAGGATTTCGAAAGGGCGGAGTCGCTGCTTTAAAATATGGAACTACAACTTGTAAAGCCGCACCGAAATGAATTACTTTTGGAGAGAAGGATTTTTTCTTTTTTTTTCGACTTGATCGGTTAGGGGTCGACCGCATACGCCTACGTGCGTTTTTAGTTGGGTTTGCGGCCGTGTTATGATAGCGTAAGTCGGTGTTTCTGCTGGTTTAGAGGTTTGAACGAAGGAGAAAATGCACAACTCTCGCTCATTATTAATGGTGGGTAAAAGGATACAAGTCAAGAGGCAGGAAATAAATTAATTTCCTTTGTGGAGATTTACTGTTTTAAAGAATCGGGGGAAGAAAAGACTCATTTCATACTTAACCGGACTAAAGACGGCTAATTATAAATACAGGCTGCCACGGATAAAATTTTCTGGTTATTAATATTTTATTTCAAGTACTTTTACCTTGAGTTTTCTATGACAAGATAATTTAAAAATGGTGGAGGCGCCGGGCCAATAAGTTTAAAAAAATTGTTTTTTTACTTTTTTTTTTACTTAAACTATTTTTAATAGATACCTACTGTTAAAAGTCTATTAAAGGTGTTTTAATATAAAAAATATATATTAAGAAATGATTATTTTCTTAATTGTTAACACATTCATTTTATTTTAATTTGGCCTCGTTTTGTTGGAAAAAAAATGAAAAAGGACTTGAAAACGTTTTAGAAACAACACATATTACCAAGATTTTAAATTAATGTTTTAATATTATTACTTTAAGTACCAACAGTAATTTGTTTTTCTTAAAAATATCTTTTAAATAAAATGTTTCATTATCTTTTTTTATACTATCTTGCTGTTTTTCTAAATAAAAGGAGTACGTGTTTGGGGAGTCACTTGCGTTGCGATTTTTGTGTTGTCGAGTTGTCGTTTTTTGTCGTAAAACTTGTGAATTGCTGGCATTGTTTGCATTGTTGGCACCACCTCCTAGTTCTTGGGTGGTATCAAATTAGCGCAGTTCGTGTCATATTAAAGTTGTAGCATAATTTAAAGTTTTGCAAAGTTCAACTTTGTTTGGTTTAATTTACATAATAGACCAACTTTGACGATTGTATGACGTAAAGTTCAAGCGTTGCATTTAATGAACGAATTGTTGGAAGGTGTCACCAAAGAAGGGAAAAGACTTGTTGCGATTTAATCGATCGTTGATTATTTTCCGGCCTGTTGCATTTTCATCCACTCCATCGGAGTCGGTAATTTTCAAGGCCTACGCCAATTTTCCCTTCGACTTTATTATTAATTGAATATTAATTAACACCACTTTCTGACTAACCTTGTTAAATGTTGTTTCAGTTGGTGGGCGGCGAGTTCGACATGGAGCTCAACTTTGTTATACAAGATGCTCAAAATATACGACATATGCTCGAGCTTCTCGATCACTGCCCTCCTAATCTACAGGTAAGGAGTGAAAAATTAGGCTTATGACTTTTTTTCTTGTTTCTGCTACTCTGCATTTAAAATAGGCGACATTTCGAAACGAAATAAACTGCCGAGGTCGGCTTTTTAGCGCCAGGACAGTGACAGAGTGTTTTATTTTTGTCCTAGAGTTTTATTTTGTTATAATAAACCATTTATAAATCGGTTTTATTAAATGGAAAACGTGATGACATTATATTTAATTAACTTTAAATGATTTAATAACCATCCAGTCACGAATAAAAATTGTAAATTTAGAGATAAGCGTTTTTTCATTGATATGGTTGAATTTAGCTAATTAATAAATAGTTTTCTTATTTACAATTTTAACTATGTAATTTAATAATTTAATTTTTTGTTTGTTTTCTAAGCTAAAACAAATGTCTGGACATTATTGAGTTTATGAGCTGCTCTTCATTCATGTTATTACAACGCACATCACTCTCATTACGCTTTAAACAATCTGCTTTTGATTGATTGCTTTTCGACGCTTCACATCGTGATGAAATTATTTTCGACCCTCTTCTGTCTTTTATCTTTGATGTTTACAAGTTTGCGCATTGATTATTAATTTAAAATTTGTAGAAAACATGCTTGGTGAGAGAGGGTGTTCTCGACCCTTGAAATAATCGCTTTTCGTGGTCAAAGTTTTGTGAAATGGTCGAATATTTAACATTTTCATATTTATTTAGACAGCCATGTCTCATGTTAACATACTTTTGTATTCTAAAGTTATAAGCGTGAGCTTTTAACAGCGCATTTCATTTTCGTTTGAATGCGGAGAGCTTTGTCGTGTTTCGAAACAAACACCGTTTTCGTACAAATAAGAGAATTGAAAAAAGCTCTCCTCTTTAACAATAGAGATACAGAAAAAGTTTCGTCTTTTAGGGATGACGATGCCGTCGAAAAACATGCAAAACTAATAAATCAACGCCGGGGGTCTCAAACTAAATTAAAGTCTTACATGTGTTAAATTTATAGGAAGAATCGGATGGAAAAAGTTGCGATAAATCCGTCATTAGTTTGAATCAGTGAGACGAAGATTGGACGTAAAAGGGGAAGCTTCAAAGTTCGTTTTAACCTCATGTATAAATAACAACTTCCGTTCAATATCCGTCGACAATGAAATTTATTTAACAAGCTGACAGTGAAGATTAATAAGCAGTCATTCGGCCAATAACTGTAAAATCGAAATAATGATGGAAATACGCACGCTTTCTCTTCAATAGACTCATTTATCAAGATTTTACGGTTCTACTTTGGATGAAATATCGGAGATCCGGATCATTTCTCACGACCAATTGGGCATTAACGAAAAGTTGTGCAATTTCGTCTATGCAGCCGGCAACTTGTAATTAATTGAACTGAAGTGTGATTTAAGAGCCAATTTGGATCGCTGGAATCCGGCAGGTCCGGTTCAGGTGCGGTTACCCTTGTTCCGGAACCGCCAAAAATTACGATGTTGAAATTGGTGGTTCAGTTAAATGTCTCAATTTTTTGCTTTAAGGCTAACATTTTCTGGCATCAGTTGCCTCCATTATTAATTGAAGAATGAAAATAGGAACAATAGAACTAAAAACGTCATCGAAAAACAATAACTTTTCTTATTCATGCGGAGATACCGGCACATCTCATGAATCATGCTACGGACTTAAAGGAAGCGATATCGGAAGAATCTTCCGATAAAAATACAAGAGACAAATGGAAGAGGAAAGGAATGGAGAAAAAACCGGTTCAATTCGTATGCGGTTTTTATATAGAAATGTCCCTGTAGGATAAATTTACGAGCACATATCCCGAATCTCTTTTCCACTTTACAAAATGCAAGTTTTATCTGTAAAACGAGTGGAATTACTGCACATATATAAACACATTTGTAACGAAACGAGCTGTTAGGAAATATGACTAAACAAAATGGAATTCAGATTGCGTCACATAAAACTACTTTAGGATTTCATTCGGTGGGATAGTCGCGATGACATCTCGACTTTTGCAGAGAGAACAACAAGAAGAAAAAATCTCATTAAGTCGGAGAATATTGGAAGTACATCATGGACGAAAACAACATTTTCTCGGATTCATCCGACTGTAAATATTTTCTTCGTGTTTACAGGGCCGTACCGATAAGAATCAGAGTAGTCAGCTTAATTAGGGTTTCGGTGTAGAGTCGGTTCGAACGTGCTAAAATCGAAAAACGATAATTATCAACGTGGAGGAGAACTAACAGATAAAGATGTTTAAAACGGAACACTGCCGATAATTATTATTATAATAGTTTTCCTCGATTGCATAAGGAATCTAGAGTGAAATCAAATCGCTATGATCTCCTTAACGAGGGTCCCGAATCTCGGAGGAACGCACCGAACGCAATAAAACGTACGAGGGACGCCTTTATTTCTCATCGCAGCTGGAATTAGTTTTATGGTTCCGGATGGGCGGATGCAAATTTTAATTAAATATTTCGACGTAGAAAACTTGGGAAAAAATCGAGTGGTTTGGGGTTGAATCGTTGACTCAATTAAATCGTAATGTGTAGATGAAGACGTTCCCAGAGCATAAGAAAGTGCTATGATTACCATTGCTAATGTATTCTGGAAGCAAGTCACTATTACATCCACAACAATGCACTTGCCAACATCTTCTCCATAAACATAAGGCGTGAAACTTTGCAAATTTATGCGGAAACATCTACCGAACGTACGGTTTCGCTTCCGTCACTAAATCACTGAAAATTTAAATCGCTGACCATAATTCAATTTTTGACCAGACGTAATTAACGAATTGGCAAACAATAATGCCAGTTTTGCTCGAATAAATCGCTTCGAATTGATATGGGCATCTGACTGAGTGACTTGTTTGGCAGTTTCGACCTTGTCTGCTTAATACCTATTTGAAATAACTTTTAGAATTTATGTTTTTGACGTGAAACAGCAGCTCTGCGTTGCTAGTATATCGTTCAACTAAACACACTCTATGAACAATCGATAAATTAACTCTGGACACACATGTTACTAAATTGGAACGTGATATATTAGTGGTCAATTCATTACTTGCCTCAGACAATTAACTAGAGTTAGGTTTTCAATGGGCCGCCATTAGGGAATATGTAAACATGACGTTTTTGGCATCAAGCAATGAGAATATTTTGACACTTGACAGGTTATCGGAATGCGGCGTGAATTGCGAGACGAAATTTCAGCCGTTTAGCATCTCAGATATGAAAATTAGGTAGCTGAACGAGGATTGCTGGGATTTGTTTCGGTAATTCGCAGAACTTGCTAGTGATTTAATGCGAGGTTTAAGGAGGCGGAGGGATCGATTAGGTGCGGTTATTATAATTTTTTCAGGGCGTGATTCGCAGAATAATTTGCATGAAAAGTTCAGGAGGAATTTCCAAACTTGAACCTCCACTTTAATTACTATTAGTTTTAGAAGCTTGATAAAATCACTTAACATGCTTAATTTAAGCTTAGTGGTTGCTTATTAGCTAACGATCAATGCGAGTTTCAACTCTGTTTTTGCCCCCATTTTTAATGGACGGCGATGTTTTGCATGAAACACTGAAACCTTTTCCATTTTCCAGTTTTATGAAACTCGCCGCCCTAGATTTTTCTCTTGGCAAAGACAATTATTTAATGTGTGTTTTCCATTAATACTAAGTGAAGCGGTTTTAGCTTTTCCATCAGTAAATAACATTTGCCTCTTTTTGCCGAGTCAAGTGTAATGTTATGTTTCTATTTAAAAAAAAGTCCAATTAGGTACCGTATGATTACGAACCGCAAACCTTTCTCAACAAACACGCGCAAATCCTCTGCTCGTTTTCCGGTTTATTCGATTTACGTTAAATTTGTTCGTCCACTATAACCTTCTGATAAGTTTTCGGATCGTGTCAGATCGTTTTAAAACCGGCGATTGTCGAGATAAATATTTAAACTGAAAACATTTCTAGAATTTATTTAGCAAAACCGAAATAATTCTTGCGAGGTTCATTAAGCAGATTGATGCGTCTCATCAAATGAAACGTAAAAGTTTTTTACGTCATTCTTTTATGTAAGTGTTTATTTTTTTCTCTTCCTGTTAGAGACTTTGTTGTTGCCTTGTTGTCGAATAACGGTCTTTGCGAATCATCTTCTATTAAAAAGTTTGTGAACTCGTTCGGAGTTCTTAACTCGCTCATCGCAACGTATTATTAAATAAGTTACGGGAGATTTGTCGAAATCTTTCGCAAAATTATGTCTCGATATGAATTAACGGGAATGGAGGCTACGAAGGCGGGTCACAGATTCGAACGTTTATCTTGCCACAGGTTCTGCACGTGACACTATCGATGAGGAGACGACGTCGACCCCAGATGAGATATCTGGTTCAGACTCGGGATAACTCAAAAAATCGAAAAATTTTAATAACTAGACGTCTACATTTAGATTTTCAATCACTAGGTACTAGTGTATGTCATGATTTTAAAAGAAGTTTGAAACTTAAAATTGGATTTTTGACTACGGTTCGCGAATCAATACACCGACAGCGCTTATGAAACAATAAAAGTTGTGTTAATCTCTTTTCTGCTTTTATAATGCTTTTGCAAATGCGAATCTTTTGAATCCTTTATGCCGGTGTTCATCTCAATAAGAATATGACCTTAATTAAAAAATTGCAAAAATTTTAAAACCAAAAATGAAACTTCTTTCATTAATTCATTCCCTTTTAAAAGCTTTATTCGAATAACATTCTCGAAACTAATTCCAGAGAGGAATTTCGAGAAACCACCAGACTCGAGTAAAAGCTGTGGGAAACGCTAGGGGGGAGTTTGCAAAAGGTTTTCGTTCAAAGTTTTCCCCCTCGGGGGACTCTAGTTTCTTTACAAATACACTGTTTTTAATAAAAACCATTTTATTCGGAAATTTTCTTAAGTTTACGGATATCCAATTTGGCGTAAAAAATCGAAGGATATGCTTTTAAAGCTTTTTGCGTCAAATAATACT